ACAAATATTTGCCATCAATGCCACCACTGCCAAGCCCAAGTGGCTGGGCGCCTGCTCAGGACCGTACCGCTGCTGACAGGCCACCGGGCCTGGCCAGAGGGGCCCTTTCTCCGGGCATACGACGGCACTACCTCGCTGGCACAGCCCGGTGAGCGGAAGCAGTGCAAACCCCTCACCCTGAAAAACCCAGCGAGCAGCCAAGTAGCTCACGGGGTGGTGTGGAGCCAGGGGGTTACCGGCAAACCCAGCCACTCCCGCTCTCCGTAAGCACAGTGCGCTGACGCTGCTCCCTCGTGGAGCGCCCGTGAACCTCGTCAGGGAACGTGATAAACCCTAGCAGTGAGCAGCAACAGCTCAGACGCTCCCCCGAGCCCCCCGAACCAGCCTGCCAGGCAGCTTAGTCCTGCCTCGTGTCACCCCGAATGCCTTCCCCCACACTTCCACTGGGGAAAGTCACAGGGGGAATAGTTCAGCACTTCCTTCCTGACGCTGTGCGCACACAAACATCATTCTTGCAACGTATACATTGAAACAAAAGAAATTAAACAGTAAATAGTCACCAAATATAGCTTTTTCCTAAATAATGTTCGTAAGCCCTACACACAACTCAAAAATTGCAGTAATTAATAGGGAAAACGTGCAACGACTGTAATTTATACAAAAAAACACCCAAAACGCCACCACTCGCTGTTGCAGTCAACATCTCCTGGTGCCTGACTCTGAGCTCTTCATGTTTCTCTAATATGGAAAACCCCAGACACAAAAGCTGCCGAAAAGACAGAACTGCACGTCACTGCCAGAATGCAACAGCTCTTTGTCTTAAAGACTAGAGTCTAACATGGAAATAACACGCGTGTCCCATACCGGGAAGTGTCCAAGGCCAGGATGGATGAGGCTTGGAGCACCCTGGGCTATGGAAGGTGTCCCTGCCCATGGCAGGGGGTGGCACTGGGGGGCTTTGAGGTCCCTTCAACCCAACCCATTCCGTGATTCCATGACTTGCTGGAGAACACAACCGTGAAGGGATTATTCCAGAGCAGCTCCTCACCTCAGGCACCCGGTAGTATTGCGCAGAACCAGGGACGTCTGAAACTTGATCTTGTGATCATCGTCGAAGGAAGAGCTGTTCCACCCAGAATGTGGCACGATGACAGCGCTCGTCAGCGTGGACAGAGCGTCTCTGATGATTGTCATCTTGACTGCGTCGCATGAAGACAAGTTCCAGAGAACCCCTGGGGAGAGATTCCCATCGGAGCGAGGTCAGGGGAGACTTGGCAAACAATACAACGCGCAGTCAGCAACTGGAAAGGCATCACGTCGAACGGGAGACCATTTAAAGCGAAGCACAGTCCGCAACGCGACTTGAGCGCTGCTGGTGGGTGAGTGGTCAGCCAAGCGGCTGCTGACAGACTCACTTCACAGGCAGAAGTCCATGGGCTACCAGCCCACTGCCACCCCATGAGCCAGGGCCTGGGAGCAGAGTCACTCACCACGGCCACCAACAGGCTGCCCACCCAGATGCTCCCCAACTCCCGTACGTGCCATTTTCTGTCCTTCAACACGTTTACACAGGTTGGGTCGAACCTATGAATTCTGCAAGATCTGATTTAAGACTTGCCTGCGGGTGACAAAAAAGGCTGCAATGAAAGGGGAGTCCATGGAGAAACACCCACCCAAGCCCCAGTGGAGTGTGTCAGGGAATCACACCGGGGAAGTGACCCTCAGTGCAGTTACCCCGAGGGTCACCGAATCCAGGCTTCTGTGCCGACACTGGAACTGTCAGGAATCAGTTAGTGATCCCGCAGTCACAAACCCACCAAGGTGCAAGTGAAACTCCAGCCCATGCGCTCCATTCCAGTCACCTCTTGTTCCAGCCTCGGCCGCTTCCGAAACCCATCCGCACCACCGTTCTCTGACTGTTTCTATGCCAAACTCACCTGTTACGAGCTCTTTTATCTCGGCATCGACAGACTTCCGCAGCAGTCGTAACAGGGCAGGTATCCCACCAACGTTCTTCATCGCTATCTTGTTCTCGTCCGTTGACTTCCCGTAAACGAGGTTTCTCAGTGCGCCGCAGGCGTTCTTCTGGACTTCCAGGACTCGGTGATCCAAGAGATCAACCAGGTGCTTGATGCCTCCCAGCCTGCACACCTAGAACCCAGGGTGTCAAAGGAGACCATCAGCACCCGTTTCACCCGGCAGATTTAAGAGGCTTTTATGTTATTCACAAAAAGTACGTTCTGTCCTGGTTCAGGAAGAAACATTGTTGGTGAATCCCAGTAACTTGCTGCACTGCACTGAAACTTGCTGTGAAGCCCAAGATCTCCTGTCGACAAACCTGTAGACAAATAATGGCCCAAGAATTCCTAAATAAGCTGTCACGGCCCTTATAAAGCAGCAAAATTACCTACAGATCTGTCCACATCCCATCATCACTGCAATCTTCACCGGAACATCAAACCAGCCCCAGCTTCCCATCCGCCTCCCAGCAACAGGGAACTGAGCTGGCTCCCACCCCGCACCAATTCATTACCGCAACGTTTACCCTGAAAAGAGCAGGTAGCCTGCACGTAGACCACAGAGGGAAGCAAACTCCTCCACATCAACAGCTCCCAGCGGCTCTGCCAAGCCAGCAGCTCTTGGGATTCTACAGATTCCCACAGTAACCGTCATTTTCCCCCAGATGGATCCTTCCACCCCACAGACTGACGCAAACGGCACCCTCTGGGGATTTCTAGGGTTGGATTCCTTCCCTTTGCCTGATGGGTCACTCAGTCCCTATGATTCCTTATAATATCTTGATCAAAACCAATGGAAAGCCTGGCAGAGTTCCTGGTTTTCTCAGTCTCTCACTCATCAAGGGGTTACACAAAGCAGGCTCCGGCAGACCTACGTGACCGTCCTGCTGTGGTACACAACCTCAACGCCAAGTGTTTCCACATCATTTCCATGCAGCCTCTCAGGACGGGGAAAATCTGCTTTTACACACACCGAGGCACCTCAGCATCGGCAAACATCTGCTACACACCCCCAGCGGGGTAGGAAACACTGCGTCACCACGGAGAGCCCCAGAAGAGGTGAGAGGTCTCGTTTGTCACCGTTCCCCCAGGCAGAGAAGGGCCCTCGACAGTACCTCCGTTTTCACTTTGTTGTCGCCGAAGCAGAGGTGCTGAAGGTAGGCAGCTGCGTTCGCCTGCACCGACGGGAACTGGTGTTGCAGCATGTGGATGACTTCGGGCAGCTCTGGGTCCCGCCAGGCAAACTCCCTTCGCAGAGCAACACATCGAGAGCAGGCGTTAGTTAACGGCCCAGCGACCGAGCAGAGCGACTACCGCACCGCAAGCGTTTCAACACTTCTGCTCGCGTTCTGGAGTGTCGGGGCTGGGAGGGAAGCCAAGAACACCTGCGTCACACCAGCCTTTAGTCTTCCCGCTGGAAGAGGCCGCGTTCTAGCCCCTGTTCTCGGGTCAGCTTGGCTGTGGATCCCACGCACTAGCACAGCACAAGCATACCGACTCAAACGCAACGCACCCTCCCCAGACTTAACCGTACAACGCTGCAGGCACCCCCGAACGGCGCTGCTCAGGCGCAGCTCTTCCACACCACACGTTCTTCCCAGCCTGAAGCCAACCGTACCTCAACAAAAGCTGCACGGCCTGAAATCCCATCGCCAGGAGAGACGCTGGAAGTTCACATAATCTGAGCACTTTGGGGAACGTAAACGTAAAATCATTCAAACCAAATCCCATCATTAAACAAAACGATGTTGTGCAGACAAGTCCTGGGAAATCCCTTGGACGTATCCGTGCCCAAGGCAGGGATGTGGACACAAACACAGAAACGTTTGCTGGGTGACCTTCCTTTGGCAAAGGCGGGCAGAAAAAAGAGTAGTCTCTCAGTTCTCCCACTCTCAAACACAGGTAAATACACCACAAAGGCTCTCTGGCACCAGCACTGGCAGGGCTTTTCAAGGGCTACAGCCAGCCCAGGCAGTCCGGCCTGCCCAGGATTCCTACGGCCACCAACCGGGGCACAGTCAGGTACGTGCCGGCTGCTCAGCCACGTCGAAGCTCGTTTCTCCATACTAATGATGGAAGAACTTGAGGAAACGTCCTTCTAACACAACGATCGCTTGCTGAACAACCCCTCTGCTCTAGAGTGATGCTTTCCGACAGCCCAGGCTGCGCCCACGGCAACACACGCCCCTCTGCCACAGCTGAGCGTGCAACTCCAACTGGAAGAGGCTGGAGCCGAAGGGAAAACCGTTCCAGGGTGAAACCACAGGACAAGGAGGTGCATCAGGAGTGAAAACTGAGTCACAGCTTCCTCACAGTCCCCGGTTACGAGGGTGAAGCATCCCTAGTAAGAGGAACTTCCCACGTAAGCCACGCCAATACGGGCAGTGGTCGCGTGCAGCTCGCAAGCATTACGGAGAGGCAGGATTATCCTGTTAACGTCATTCGGATGAACGTACCATTCCGTTAAATGGAATGAATCCTCTCAACAGCTACTAAAAAAAGAATTCTATTAATTCCCACTGAAACGAAACAACAAATCAAACAGTGCTTGTGTTTCTGAGCCTGAAGGACAGGCCCAAACCAGAGAACAACGAGCTGATGTTCCGAGCTGTTGGAAAGCCCACAGGGAGTCAGCGCGCGACTCCCACCTGACCACAGGCTCAGCTGCCTTTGTTCTGAGCTTATTTGGTGCCCTGACGTTTCCACACCGAGACTCCCGCTCATCCTGGGGGCCATGCCCTCCCTGCGAGGTGCTCTGCTTCGGCTCCCTCCAAACCAGAGAGCGTGCCGTGTGCTTCCATCACCCTGCAGCGTCCTGAAGCTGCCTCAGCGACCCGCCAACCCGAGGGCAATCACAGACCCATCACCGAAGACAAACAGCACCATAAACCCGTCCAAGCTTTGCACGGACGGGGTTTCGGCACTCCCACCTGGAAACACAAGGTTCTAATGAACAGTGTCTGATGCACTGCAGTGAGAACGTTGCACCTGCCCGTGCCCACACGGCAGCCAACGGGGAGCTCCCGAAAAACAGGAACGCGGGCTGGTTTTCAGAGGGGACACCGACACTGATGTTTACTTAGGTCGCTCTGAAATTCAAGCAGGCTGCTCATGAAAGATTCATTCAGGTTAATTAGGTACCTACTTTCTCATCTTCAAACCCTGATTCCTGTACAGAGAAAGCTTACTACAACATCAGAGGTTGCTCTGTAGTTACCCAAAAGGAGTTGGAATAATCCAGTCAATTCTCACCAGATTTCTAAGTATGTCCTGCAATAACTTCTACATGAAGATAAACAGGGAAGAAAAACACCGCAGCAGCTAAAAGCCCCAAGCTGCCCTTTCTTTCTGCAGCAAGCAGACTGCATTCACTGCCCTGGATCTCAACACCGAGCTAGTCACGACGGTTCAAACGACGTAAAACTGGAACACGCACCGCGAGGTGCCAAATGCAGGCAAGGGATGTACATACAGGCTCATCACAGCACAGGTGCGCAAACGGACTTGCCTGGGGTCCTTCTGGATGCTGTCTATGGACGGAGAGCGCGTGGTCCCATCGTCGGCGGGCGTCGCGTGCTGCAGCCTGTTGTAACTGGACTCTGAGAGGCGATACTGCACTGACCTATAGGGTTCCGCATAGGTAGCTGTTGTGTTCAGAGTGTAATTATTTCTTTGGTATGTGAGTGTGCTACGCTGACTGGATGATCTCTGCAGATTTCCGACCCCTAGTATAAAACCAGTGTTAAAACAAAGCGGGAACAAAGGTCTGTTGAAGAGCAGAGGCAGTACGTGGTAAAAGCGTCAGCAGAACCCCAACCCCAGCCGGAGAAGCGCGCACCAGGCCCAATGCTGGGCGCTATTGCCAGCTCTAAGTGACTCAGCCTCCCGGGCAAGGCCCAGAGGCCACTTACAGAACTACAGGTCTGGTGGCAGCGGGCTCGTGCCTCAGCCTGCCCCAGCCAGTACTTAAAGTATGAAACACATCTGGGACCACCAAGCGGGAATCGGGATGCAAAACCCTCTCGAGGTTTGCAATGAAGTGCAATTGCTGGCGGCGAGGTCAGTTTGCCAACTGCAGTCAAGAGGGAGGACAAATCAGCACACAAAACCGTGTCTAGTGTGCATGACACTCTCCCTTCCCAAACCCCAGGTACGTCTTCCCTGAGAGGGCAGGATTTCACAGGTTTGAGCCATCACGGTAAAAGCAGGAGCATGCATCTCCCTGACTGCGCAGGGTGCCACTTTCTGTTCCCCTGCTGCCACATCCTGCCAAACCAGGCACGCTTGCTCCGGGCGGCAGAGGGCAGGAGAACTGGGACCATCCCGCCCTCTCAGTACTTCAGTTACGGAAAGAGCACCACAAAGCCGTGTGAAAACACGCCGTGTGAGGTGGGCACTTCGGGAGTTACCGAGGTGGAGCACTAACAACCTGAGAGATTTGGGAATTACTCCACTGCACAAATTACTAATCAGCCCTAAAGAGTAAACCGCACAGCAACACGTAGGACATTTCTCTTCACAGCTCCCACGCCGCTCTACAGCCGGCGCGTTCGCAAGGGACGAGTCGCAGTTCTATGAAACCCACGGAAACATTTCGGCTCCAGTATGTGACCCCAGGTCCCACCAGCATCAGGTCCGGAATTATAGCACCACTCTTTGCCGTGAAGCCGGGTGCACAGGACTGTCCCTGCCAAGGGGCGGTGGGGAACTCCAGCGTGTCTGTCTGCATCCATCAAGGAGCGAATACGAGGCCCCTCAGCGCGTAAGGGAATGATGCACTGAGAACGCAAGGGGAAGCAACAAGCTTTTTGTGCCACAAAACAGCTTTGTGTGGATGTACCTGCACATGTCACATCAAACCGGACCGTTCTGACCCCACGCTGGCAGCGACAGAGCCCCAGGAACGTCCTGCAAACCTCACGGAAGCTTTTGAACTCCTGCTCCTTATTTCAAGTCCTTCAAACCTCGTTTCTGCTATCCTGTAACATCCAGCTTTTCCTAGTGCGCCGGCTTTTGGTATCTCCTACGTTTCCCACAGGTTCCAGAGACGCTCCCGTAAGCAAGCGTAAGCACCCAGCCCACGGATGGGGTCTGGAGGCCCTTACCCACCTGACCCTGTTCGGTACAGGGCTGACTGGGATCCCTGGTGCAGCTCAACCGTTCCGTGGTTTGGGCTGCGGTACACGGGACTGTAGTACGTTCTGCCCTCGTAGATGGGGGTGATGTGCAGCTCAGGAGACACGGCTGACCGCAGCTCTTGTCCTAGCTGACTGTGCTGACTGGCGTATGAACTCCGCAGGCCTAAAACCAAGAAGAGGGAAATGCGTACTCAGCCCACATCAATTACCAATAAGAACACTCTCGTGCTTGGATCTTCCTGCTTTTAGCCAAGAGAAGTGTTAGTTGCAACCACATTACAAAGATTTCTTCATTAAAGCTCTTTCCACTATCCAATGATCCGTACTGAAAGGTTCACTGCCAAAACAGCATTTCTCTGATGAAATGATTTGCCCATACACTAACAACTTTTATGGGTTCCAACTCCATTCTTTGGGCAGCGTTTAGAGCTGAAAGTCTAAAACACAGAGAGCAAAAGCCAAGTCAGCACGTGCAGGTGAAGGGTTCAGCGGTGACAAGCTGGGAACCTGGCAGTTCTCAAGCAGGGCACAGCCTACAGCGGGGTCATGACCTCGAGCATGGAACACCGGCAGCAGTAAGGGCACAGGCTGCCTGGTAGTGGCAGCAGAGACTCGAGGATGCGGAAAAGCCCTTGTGAAGGTTGGCACAGCCTGCCTGGACTTCCCTTCCCGGTCCCTGTGTTGCACTGCCTAGCCAGCCCCCCTGCCTGCCCGTCTGCTTCCAAGGCTTCCACCTAAAGCACCCTCTTCCCAGCTTGTGGAAGCTGCAATTCCAGAGTCTGCAGGGAAGCACTAATGCACTGCAGGGGGGTGGAAAACCAGGGAGAGCCTAGGGAATTCCGAGAGTCCTTCACCAGTCCCGCTGGAGTTCTGCCAGCTCCGCGCTGTCCGAGGGCACAGCGTTTGCAGCCGAGGGGACGCGGCGCCCGAGGGACGCGCGCCCCTGCGCTCAGCACCTTCTCCCGTCTCTTTTCACAGGAAGGCACCACCTGCAGTTCCGTTTTCTCAGAACCTGCGCCACAGGGACGCCCTTCCCAGGGACTACGCACAGAGGGAAGGGAGGACGTGATCACGCACCCACCCCTCCTCAGCTCACCCAGCAGGGAAGGGGTGTGGGTGCTAGAGTACCTGCCCTCCCCCTCCCACCCAAACTTCCTCTCAGAAAGCTGATCACGTCTGAGCTCTTCCCTCTCAGGGAACACTGAACTGATTTGTACTGGGAACGTAGACGTCCGTACGCCGGAGCAGAGGGCAGCCGGCAGTGCAGACTGCGCCGCCCGCCTTCACTCAAACTACTTGACCGCCTTCCGTGTCAAACTGACCCTCAGCAAATGGGCAGGTTACCCCGCCTCGCGGGCAGAGGGGAGGGAGAAGACACCCTACACCTTCTCCCGGGGAATGAGAATATTTGGGGATTTCCTGCAGTGCAACAGCTCAAAAGAAAAGAGAGACCGCAGCCTGTTCAAAGGAGCGTACGGTCTAACTGCCAAGTCACCGGGTCTGAGCATCAGACGGAAACCGGCACCGCACACGGAACTTGAAACATAAGGTAACTGCAGCTTACCAAGAACCGCCTCTGAGCTGAACGGGTCCCGCATCTTAGGGCTCTGCTTCAAGCCAGTATCACAACGGCTACCTGTGCTGGAGTCCTTTGAGACAGCCTGGACATGCTAGGGGAACCAGACTACAATTCCGTGGTACCAAGCCACGTGTTTTAAGGATGAACTAGGCCTAAAGCTGGTTCTAGCCTTGTATCTTCTACCTGGTTAGAACCTGCACAGACACTTCAACGTGCTTTAGCTCTGAAAGTACCGAACAGCCTCTGTGCAGAAGACTCAGATTTCACGTAGCCACTTGAACCAGACAGTTCGGTGCCATGGCTGGCGGTCTACGAACGAGAGAGATGGGACTCTCGGGGCACTCGGGGTATGACTGTGTGTGAGGTCAGCATGTACAATGGATTTGATACACCCACTACTAGTGCTGCACTGTTTCACCCGTAAAACAACTGTCGCGTTACCGGCTCCGCAGCCGTAGGTTTGTACCAGGCCTCAAGCTGCCTGTAGCGCCTTCACTGACCTGTAAGGCTGTCTGGCCGCGGGGGGACCATTCTCTCATAGATGTCGTACTGCTGTCCGTATTGTTCAACGTCATGAATTGTTCTCTGCAGCGTCGTCCCCAAATGCTGCGGAACCGCAGTCATGCCAGAGCGCTTCGGAGAAGAAGATCCCAGCTGAGTCTGGGATGGAGAACCTACTCGGGTTTGCACATCAGTAAGGGCAAGAGGAGAGCCAACTCTGGCCGAGGTTTGGTATTGGGAAGTCCCACCGTTGGGATTTGCCGTCTGTCTGGACGTAACCGAGCCGACACGCCGCACAGCCGTTGGGGAGGCAGGTCTCTGCGCAGCATAGGGGGATGCCGCCCGCTGCGCGGGCAGAGTAGTGGATGAGTACGTGTGAGAAGCAAGGGATCTCTGCTCAGTAACCGATGGGGAACCATACCCGCTGCCCAGAGACGTTCGCAGCGACCCCCGGGAAGGGGAAACACCCGTGCTGACCATGTAGGAGGGAGACTGGGCTCTGGATGGGACTGAACTGACACGCCTCATGACTCGGTTGCTGGCGATATTTACCGAAGGCTGTTTAAAAACAAAAACATTCATTAGTTTCACCAGTAGGCCATGGAGTGGACACCCTTCTCCCACAAGACAGAGATGTCAACAGGAAATGCACAAAATCCAGCGGCGTGTGAAAGCAGCTCAAGAGGCACTTTTACCCTAATCGTAATTCCTTCAACTTTCCCCACAACTTCTTCCTAATCTGTATCTGTCAATCCATAAAACGACAATCTAACATTAAAAAAGCACCTGTTCCTCACTCTTACTAGGCTTTCCATGCTAACAGGCAGCTACGCTTTCTTCCCTCACTGCCCTAACACGTTGGAAATGCAGGAGCACAACGCCAAGAGTGTTAGCGTAAGCTGACAGGGTGTTGTCGCTCGCTGCCTTGCCACCGTTCTCATTCGTGACAGAGGAGGAGAAAACAGCCGGGTGCGGCAGAAGGTACCGAACACGAGCACAGGAACACAGGCACCATCTTCGCTCAAGCACTGCAGACAGGCTGTGTTCCAGCAGGTTTCCCCAGCATCACAGCTGAGCTGTGAGGGAGCGACGCTCCGCCAGAGCACGCTGCAGGCAGGCGCCCTCCCAGGCCGCGCTTCATGCCAGCCACAGCAGACGAGCCCGATCGCAGCCACGCTGACCGCCAAGGCCAGCTGGTCCGTGCCTGCTGCAGGCCCTTCCTGCTCCAAGCAGGGAGCATGATCTACTAACATCGACCCCAGCCTAGGCAACGGTAGGCGCAGCGACAGCGCTACCGTCTCCAGCCCCGGGTTACGGGCAGAGAGAGGGCACTGCTTTGAGCATACCTGGACCGACGTCTGCCCTTCCGCTCGCGAGCTCCTCACCAGATGGTTGTTAGCGGTTCCGGTAAGGGAATGCTGCTGCCTGGCTTCTGCTTTGCTCAAGTTCTGGCTGTTCGGGAAACTGCTTACTTCCTGGTAACCACTGTCAGAGTAGGAATTCATCTGTGTTGAACTCCTTGAGTTACCTACAGACCCTGTAAACATGAAGCCAGCATGAGGACAACTGCACAGAAAGAAAACATTTCAAACTTCGTTATCTGTTTAACTGGCCGTTTCTGGGCAGCGAACGCAGCAACACATTCTACTATTAGAAAGCACACAACAGACCCTCACTTTCATGGAGAGACGTCTGCTCTGGCGAGTAGAGGTTCCCTTGCTCTGGCTCTGTCCTAACGTCATAGGCATTGGTGTGAGCACCCTCGGACACTCGGGCTTTGTTTGCACTGCTGGTCGGAGGATCTGAAAGAATAAATCAGTCCAATAAATTTCATAAGTTTCCTGAAAACTCAGAGTAATTCTCTCACACAGACTAATGAAGAGCTTGCAACATAAACAGAGTCTGCTAGCAGACAGGTAGCGCCTCCAAACTGAACGAAGACCGTTAGTACTGATGGCTGGGAACCTTCTTCCCTGCAGTTTTGATGCAGTTCTACAATTCTCGTTTTCCAAGGACACGTTCCAACCCACTTTAACGGGAAACTAACTGATTGCAGTGCTGCAGACTAGGGGAGGAAGGGCTGGAACGCTGCCCAGCGGCAAAGGACCTGGCGGGGTTGGTCAAGAGCAGCGGGACAGGAGCTGGAGGGGACTCATGGAGACCTTATCGCTCCCTACAGCTTCCTGAGAGGAGGGGGCAGAGAGGGGGTCGGTCTCTTCTCCCAAGGGACAAGGGATGGGACAAGAGGAAACGGCCTCAAGTTGTGCCAGGGGAGGTTTAGGTTGGATATTGGGGAAATCCCTTCCCGAAGATGGCTGTCAGGTGCTGGAAGGGGGTGACCAGAGAGGGGGGAGTCACCATCCCGGGAGGGGTTTCAGAGCCACGTGCACATGAGGGACTTGGGTTAGTGGTGGCCTTGGCAGTGCCGGGGTAATGGTTGGACTCAGTGGGCTTAAGGGACTTTTCCAACCACAGCGGTTCCGTGATTCTACGATTCCCAGCCAGTATAAACTCTGCAGAGCGGAGATGCTGTGCAAGTACCTGCACTGCAGAGGACAGCTATCACGCGTCTTACGGTCCTGCTAGCCCAAGAGATTCACACGCAAAAGGCTGGGTTGAACCTCGCCCCATCTGTGTGACACCAACAGAAGTTACTGCAAAGTCCACCCACTCTTCACGTGCTACAGCCCGAGTGTTGCCTTTTAACAGCTCTGAAGGTAACTTCAGTCCTAGGAACGTCAGCTGAACTCCACAGGCAGGAGGTAGAGCGCCATCACACGTGAGAGAGAGCAAAGGAGACATCCCAACACTGATATGAGGAAAGGAAAAAGCTGAACAGAGCCCGGAAAAGAGAGACAAAGATGAGGACACAAACCACGAATAACTGAACCGGAATTATTTTGGTGGGAATCTTAAGCACCCAGTTGCCATCCTGTGATCCCTACTGACGAAGGAGTCGGAGGTGCAGTAGGACATGTGGGCTGTGTTTAAAGGGAACAGCAGGCGTGCAAGTTCTTGCTGAAGAAACACACGACCGAGCCTGGAGCAGAAACCAGAACGCGCGGAGAAGCAAGACTCGAGGAAAAGGCCGCACGAGTGCTTGCACCAAAGGCTGCGAGCTGCGGAGAGCGAAACCTGCCGAGGGCTCTCCAGACATGATGGAGCACCATGCTGCGGCAAGGAGCTCCCAGAAAGCTGATGCTAGTGGGGAAGATGGCAAAAAGGGCCGAGATCAGCCCTATGCGATGGCTACCAAACCCTCTCCAAGGGACAAGACACCCCGGCAGAGCTGGGCGTACGGCACCCAGGGAAGAACATCCCGCCAGGGCCCCAGCAACACCTGGAGAG